TATAAATTGGGCATAAATTCTCAGTCCGTTATAGAAAGATCCATTATTATTATAGAGAGAGTGGCTACAAGTATATTTTCCTCACAAAATTAACAACTTCAAATATTTTTCTCTTGATTTAGCCAGACAGTAGGCTTGCCCTTTATCTATTATTATTGGTTTAGTATGTATTTATATTTAATCATATAATTTACATATCATGTATGTACTTATACTTGTTCGTTCATTAATTAATATTTGTTCATATTGAAAAAAAAAGTAGCGAATGAACTTGCCAAGATGTTAAAGATGGTGCTGCGAGCGTGGAATTTCTGATTACAAACTCGAGGGGTGTCTGATAAAATACAAGATAATATATATATATTTGCTGCCGACACACGGTTTACGTCTTTTCCAAAAAAAAAAATTTTTCCTGATGTTGGAAAGAATTTCAAAAGAGAACGCTGACTTTAACACAGTTTGTTTGGGGAATATATATGACCCAAATAAATCAAGGAAATGCCAGTGCGAGATAGTAAATTGAAGATTAACTTGGATCCCGCCCGATTGTTGAATCAATTCATTTTATATAATGACATCATCAATGACGCGTTTTTGCATTTAACATTAGTAATTAATATTAGTCGCTCATTATTAATCATTCTATTTATTGCAAAAATTCAAGAAGTATAAATACACTTAAATTTCCTTCATCTTTTAATAATAAAAACTGTATCTGACTGTAATTAATTAATAATCCTTTCTGATGATTAATGGTTGGCCAACCTTTAACTATTAGTTTGGACTTGTAGTGATGTCTCAAATAGTATAATTGTACTTTTTTTTTGGAGCATATGAAACTGGAAAGGAAACCGAGACACTTGACCAGAACTCGCCTACAATAATAGTATATGTGCAGCTGGAAAGAAAACCTTGCACTTGACCAAAAATAGGGTTTCTATTCAATAATTCGAATTAAGATTGAGTTGTATATGATGGAATAAGAATTTGTATTATGATTTATGAATAGGAAATCTGGCAGAAACGCGGTGAACTTTTGAGTTTGTTTTATTATTATTGTGAAATATTACTAAAATCAAAAAATTACGAAATTTAGAATTTCAATTACAAAAAGTCTAGAAGAAATACAACTTGAGAAAAACAATGATGTTTCAATAAGTGATTCAGAAAATAATGGTAAAAACATTATTTAATAAAAATAAAAATTAGATTCT